CGTGCATGCCTGTAATTCCGGCTACTCGAAGGCTGAGGCGGAAGGATCGCCGGAGCCCAACAGGTCGAGGCTGCGGTGGCCGGGAGCGGCCACTGCACTCCAGTCTGGGCGACAGAGTGAGACTCCGACTCAAAAAAATAAATAAATAAATAAAAGAGTACTTAGGACATTCATCAAAGCTGGCATAGAACAGCTTGTGCTGTTACATCAAGTAATAACTGTGTGAAAATTCTAAGAAAAAAGCCTGAATGGTAACTCCAAGCTCCCTGCGACTCCGTGTGACAATTCTTTGTGATCTCTGTGCAATTTCACATCGTGGCTTTCAATGAGGGTTTGTGTGACTGAGATCAATTATCCTGGTATCATGTTGATCTGTCTTAGTGCTCTTGGCACAGATAGCCACCAACTATCTTTTCTTCTAGGAGAGTTTACTGCTTTATAATTCATTTACAAGAAATACAGTACCATGAGGCTCTTCTGTTTGTGCTAGTTGGAAATGTCTCAGAGCAACAACCCAGAACGTTCTGCTTCACAGCACAGAGAAAGGTTATATTGACTGCATAGATCACATCCTTCTGTATTTGGAGGGGCTGATAACCATCTCTCATTTACTTGGCACCAGGGCCCTTCTCTCTTATGATATTCCATCCCTTTCTTTGCACTATGCCTCCTCCCTTCACATCCAAGTTTCTGTCTCGACTTGGTTGTGTTGTGAATGGTAGTTAGGAACTTACTTGAGTTCAAGGGCAGCAATTTGGTGCAACTGAGTGAAGTGCCTTTTCTGTATGACTTCCAGCAAAGACGTTATGTTCCGCTGCATATTCTGAAGAGTAGAATCGGGGAGTTGGAAATCTTCATCCAAGCTCTCATTTAAAGTTGTTGACTTTTCAATCATTTCTATGGAGAAAATTCAGTTATTTAATAAGTCTCTCAAAAGTACATAGTGCTAAATGAAAAAGTTAGAACCCACCCTGGTGAGGACTGTTCTTTTCCCCTAAGCTAGGTGGACCTCCAGCCCAGGCGAGGCCAGGCCACTCAGTGTATTCCAATGTACTCAGCACACCCCCCAACTAAACATTCATGAACTTGGGATTATGTAATGTATATCTGCCCAAGCACCCATAAAATCCCTAAAGGCAGGGAGTTTGACCATTGTGTTTACCTCAGCATCTCCTTGTATCTGGTGCAGACATTTGCACATAGAAATTTCTCAATAAATATTTTCTACATGAATAAACCACTAATACTTGATGCTACTGTTTTTATTAAACATAATTTGTTCTAATAATTTCCTTACCTTTTGCCTTATAAAATCTGATTTGCACTGGATTCTATACTTTTTAAGCCCTTAAACTATAACCCAAAAAGAAAAAGCAAGAATATGTTGCTGGTAACCATAAAACTAAAAATAGCACACTATCAGCCGGGCGTGGTAGTGCATGCCTGTAACTCCGGCTACTTGGAAGGCTGAGGTGGAAGGATCGCTGGAACCCAGCAGGTTGAGGCTGCGGTGGCTGGGAGCAGCCACTGCACTCCAGTCTGGGCGACACAGTGAGACTCCAACTCAAAAAAAAAAAAAAAAAAGCACACTAAAGGCCAGATCAGATACCATCGAGACATGACTAAATGGCTCTAATATGGTGGACATGCTTTAGCACCAAATGGAAGCCCCAAATCCTGTCGGTTCCTAATCTGGACAAATGAATGGGGAGATTACCATAGCAGCTTTATCATGATGGGGGCTTGAGAATTAAGATCTGCGTGTGAGCCATGATATAGAAAATTTAAAAAGAAATATGTATTTCCTAAAAACTAAAATCTCAGTGAAAAACTATGGCCTGGACATTTCACGATCTCCAAACCATGGAATATTCTAATCCCATGGCTCCAGGAAGCCCAGTGTCAGACACACACCTGTGCATATGTTTAATAGAGCAAAAGTGACTCCCCAGACTTGACACTGCCCACACTACCTTTGATGTTTGACTGTAGCCTCTCAATGACAGCGGCCAGGTCTTGACTCTCCCTGAAGATTCTTTCGGTTGCCCTGTTCACCCTTTGGGTACTTGTTAATACTCTATCGAGCTGACAGGAGAATAAGGTCTCAGGTTAGTTTGACTTTTAAAAAATGTGCAAGCTTTGTCATTCCAGTTATTGCCTCTTTGAAGCAACAAAACGATTTCAGAATATCAAGATGTGCTCTACCATGTAGACCGAGGTTAATATTTTGGGTTAGAAATTGACTAAGTGGTTAATGAAATAATTTACAACTCACTCAACCTGAGGAAAGATGGTATATTTTTATTTATTTTTTATTATGTCAGCTATTTATTCTTTCTAAAATCCCAACAGTATCAGTTTCCTCACAATTAATCCTGATTATCACTGAATAAGATAGTATATTTTTAAAAGCAGCCTGATAGACCCACAGATTCTCCCAGTGCCTCTACTGTGAAGTCCCTTTATTTACTGCAGGACCCAAGTATACAGAACACAGAAAGTTAACCTTAATAATTTGTCTACCCTGTGAGACATTAGTCTCTAGGAGTTAAAAACCTGGAGTCAGGCAAGCTGGGTTTTAGGTCTCATTCTGCCAGGCTACAGACAGAACTCAACATTATCTATAACGCTGGGTAATAATAACACCTCCTCATGAGACTCTCAGGAGAACCGAATGAAATGATGTCCCCAAAGCCAGCAGCCCAGAGGCTGAGATTTAGCTGTCCTCAGCTGTTATTTTTACTAAGAATTTTATAATTTGTAAAAGATAAGGTTGCTTGTAATTCCCAAGAATGCAAATTAAGTCAGATCGGGTCTACGAGTGCTTTCTAGTCAAGACCAAAGTGAATCTTCTTTAAGGGATAGTGAGAATTTATTTTAATCAGCATATCACTTCCTGCCAAACATTTGTTTGATGAGGTACTTAAAGCCCACACTTAAACACTTACACTCTTTCCAAAGCATCATTAATTCTAAATTAACAGGGGCCAAGCTAATATTTTTTCTAGGGTGTGTAATTATGTACGTGTGTATGTTGAGAGACAGAGACTAGATACACATATGTATAGATAAACTAAACATTATACATAAATATGTATATACACACACAAGGTTCATAAGTGAAAAATAGTAAATTTGACAGTAAATTTGACAGGCCTCTCTCGTCATCTGTAAATGAGGAGATTCTTTTTTGGGTCACTAAAAGCCCTTTCTCTGGCAGAGGCTAAACAGAATAAAGGATCCCCTGGTGACACAAAAATGAGCTTTCTTGCCATTCAAAGTCCTAAAATCAGAACCACCTGGGTATGAAGCCTGAGTGTTGGCCAGATCCCATGAAGTCTGCCCTGTAAGTTGCAGAGAGCATTACTGGTGCTCCGTGGCGCGCCTCTGTGCTCACCATGTGCTCGGATAGCCAGTGAATTTAAGAGAAGGAAGAAAGCACGGCGATTTTTCCATCCTGTCCCCATCCTTCAGTGCAGAGGAGATAATATGGGAGTCAGAGAGCAAAGTGACTGTCCAACCCTTTCCTCTGCAGAGGTGACAACAGAAATTAAGTCAGGAGCCTTTTCCCACTAAACCACAGAAACTGGCAGGGATGAAATCAACTGGATGATCAAGTACCTGGAGCACAGCTCCTGGGAGGAAGAGGCTGACATGGTCTAATCAGAACCTTCCAGACAGCCAAGGGTCATTGCTCACACTGCCCTAGTTCTGCCTGCCCTAGTTCTTGAAGAAAGAAGTTACAGCCGGGCTCGGTGGCTTAGCCTGTAATCCCATGCCTTGGTAGGCTGAGGTGAGTGGATTGCCTGAGCCCGTGGGTTCGAGACCTGCCTGGCAGCGAGACCTCATCTCTACAATAAATCAAAAAATTAGCCGGGCGTGGTAGCGCGCACCTGTAATTCCAACTACTTGGAAGGCTGAGGCGGAAGGATCGCCGGAGCCCAGCAGGTCGAGGCTGCTGCGCTCCAGTCTGGGCGACACAGTGAGACTCCAACTCAAAAAAAAAAAAAAGAAAGAAGTTACCTTCTCTCTCAGGTTGTCTGTTCGTTCTGCAACGCCTTCAAGTTTAATTGTTGCCAGTTCCCTTTGCTTATTTTCCTTCAACAGAGATTCCTAAGAAGAATAAAGGGAACACATTAAATTACAGTGCTTCTGAGTAACATGTTCTGGTTCTTAACTAAGAAGCACTTGCTATTTCCTTTTTGGTTCACACGAGGAAATTCTTCTTTCCTTGAAATTGTCATGTAAAAAAAAAGAAAATGGATCAAACTTAAGTTTCAATTATAGCAACATAATTCCATACTGTCATCCTTTGCCATTGCATCTCCTATGAAATCTGGTGTTAAGCAGAATCTGATACTGCTGCAATTCTTAGACAAAAGCATGACTTTATTTCAATATCGGCATCACATAAATTTTAACTATAATTACCAACACCTTAAAAATACAAAATAATTCAACAGAGAGAAAACTTTATAAATAGTAACGATGAGGTGCTTAATTTATGTCAACGCTATTTAAAATTCTTTGCTTGTATGAGTTTATTTAAAGCTTAAAACAACTCTATGAAGTGATTAAGCTACTGTCTAGGGTTAGAGGATTAAGTAAGTTGCCTAAAGTTGGTGTGTCAGTAAATAAGAAGAACAAAGAACAGTTAAGAGCGCACACTCCCAACCTTCGCCAAACACTTTACATAAACTAAGGAGTTATTGAAAGCAAATGGGCATGTGGCTTAAGTTAGAGCAAATTATTCAAAATTACTTAAAACTTAAATAAAGTATTCACCTCACTTGATAAATAGAAAGTAGTTATATTCCTGGGGCTCAAACTGGCAGAAAATAGTGTTTCTTGATTGCATATATAGTGATTGAAAAATAAATGTAAATGTTTGCTTCTTTATTTTATGGATGTAAAACCTCTCATCTTTCAAAACCACTTTTTGCCATTTGAGGAAAAATAACATAAAACGAACTCTTAGAGTTCCCTAAGCTTTCTTCACTGTTGTTATAGAGAAAAGACCTCTCTAAGTAAGAATGGATCAATGAGCCAAACTCAACCCAACACACACACACACCCTAGGGAAACGTTAATTCTAAGAAAAGCGTTTATCTAAAAAAAGATATTTAGGAATGCCTATCCTTTTTATTGCAACCGGACACACTGACTAGATTATGTCCATTTCTAATGTACCGGCAAAAAGCAAAATTGAGGAATCATGTTTTTTCCAATTAGAATGAAAAGTGCAGGAGTAGCTACTGTCTACTATATCCATTTCTTAACTTCCTGCCCTTCTTTGACCCAGATGCTCTTGACAAAACATAAAATTATGATGTATTCCCAGAGATTTTAGTATAGTCTTATGGGGGAGGGAGAAACTTTCATGCCTTGCAACTCCGGTTAAGAATAAATACTTAACAGAAGATGGTTTATCTTCAGCATAAACCAACTTGAAAGAACATACTGTCCAATGTATTTTGTTTTTGGAATAGGACAGTTGCTTTCAAATGCCCAAAGGTCTGTATTACGAAGAAGCAAGTAGTCTTGGTCTCATCCTCAAAGGCAGAACAAAGACCACAGGAAGCAGAATTTATAAGGAGAACTCTATGGAGCATCTTAAACAATTAGAGCTGCCCACAGGGAAATAAATTAGCGTATGAGAAGATGAAGTCCCTGTCCCTGGTCATAGAGTCAAGGGATGGCTGGAAACCTCGCAGTGGGGGACGATGGAAGTAAGACACCTACACGGGAGGAGTGGGGGACACAGACAGATGGATGACTCCTCCTCCCTCCCACACTGACTGTATCTCTCAATGATACAGGTTTCTATTCATGTATTCCCAGTACTTACCCGGAGAGAAATAGTTGTATTTTTCAGGTTTGTCAGAATTCCGTACGGGACAGGAACAATGCCGGTGAGATTCACAGAAAGAATGGTATCACCAATATTTTCTAAGTCATTCAACAGCACATCTACACACTCATCATCACAGGCTTAAAGAAAAAGACAAAAAACAAAAGAGTTAGATCTGTATCTCTCTCTCCCTCTCCCACCTCTCTCTGTATCTCTCTCTCCCTCCCTCCCTCTCTCTGTATCTTCTCTCCTCTCTCTGTATCTTCCCTCTCTCTCTGTATTTTTCTGTATCTTTCTCTCCCTCTCTGTATCTCTTTCTGTATTTCTCTCTCTCTCTCTCCTCTCTCTGTATCTCTCTCTTTCCCTCTCTCTGTATCTCTCTTCTCTCTCTCTGTATCTCTCTCCTCTTTCTGTATCTCTATCTCTCCCTCTCTCTGTATCTCTCTTCTCTGTGTCTCCCTCATTCCCTCTTTCTGTATCTCTCTGTATCTCTCTCTCTCTCTGTATCTCTCCCTCTCTCTGTATCTCTCGTCTCTCTGTGTCTCCTCATTCCCTCTCTCTGTATCTCTTTCTCTGTAAAAAAGAAAAAAAAAAAGTTAAAGTTACTGCAGTGTGGTCTGCTCATTTCTCATGGGGTTGCATAAGCCATTTTGTAATAATAAAATGCACAGAGGACACTGTGTCCTCCCTGTGTCACATCTGATCTCATTCTCATTCCAACTGTGTGGTGGGGGTATGGCAGGAAGCACTGAGCCCCTATTCTCCAGCGAGGACACTGAGACGTAGATCAGGTAAGTCACTTCCCTGGAGTCACACAGAAAGAAACAATTGAGCCAGGAGCGATACCCAGGACTGGCATGTGTTTCATTGTACCACTCCAACCCTGCTCGTCGTTAACTGGGACCCACCGCGGTGAGTTTCCATGCTTCCTTACAGAGCCTGCTCTGTCACTTCCTCAGACAGTTTGCAGATCATCTTCAGCAAGTACAAATGAAGGGCACTGGAGAAAACAATGGGGGTGTTTTTGCTTATAATAAACACAGAAACAAAAGCAAAAGAACTCTCCAGTGCCACGATCCTAACTTTTTTCTACTTTCCCCATGAACTTCGGAGAAGACGTCCCAAGAAGACTACCTCATGCACTTGCTGGCAAAGTAAGTCAAAACTGGGAAAAACAAACAAAAATCCATGACAGCCAAGAACTAAAGTTATTGTGGAATTTGGGTAGCACAAATGACAGTCCCACAAAGGTGTCTGCTCTCTGTCACCGAGTCACCCTGGGCTCTATTAAGGGATATATTAAAGCAACTAAGAAGGCCGGGCATGGTGGCTCACACCTATAATCTCAGCACTTTGGGAGGCTGCGGGTGACAGGGTCGCCTGAGCCCATGGGTTTGAGACCAGCCAGGACAACTTGGCGAAATCTCGTCTCTACAATAAATAAAAAAGTTAGCTCCTTGGAAGGCTGAGGGGGAAGAATGGCCTGAGCCCACCAGGCCGAGGCTGTGGTGGCCGTGATCACGTCACTGCATTCTAGCCGGGACAACAGAGTGAGACTCTGCCTCAAATCAATAAATAAATAAATAAATAAGCTGGGCTCGGTGGCTCAGCCTGTAATCCTGCGCCTTGGAAGGCTGAGGTGAGTGGATTGCCTGAGCCCGCGGGTTCGAGACCCGCCTGGGCAACTTGGTGAGACCTCATCTCTACAATAAATCAAAAATTAGCCAGGCGTGGTAGCGCGTGCCTGTAATTCCAGCTACTTGGAAGGCTGAGGCGGAAGGATCGCTGGAGCCCAGCAGGTTGAGGCTGTGGTGGCCGGGAGTGGCCACTGCACTCCAGTCTGGGTGACAGAGTGAGACTCCAACTCAAAAAAAATAATAATAATAAAAATAAATAAATAAATAAAGCAGCTAAGTGAGGAGGTTGAATCACTGTGCTGCTTTGAGTGCCCAGGAAATAAAGGCCAGTATCTCAGAAATTCCTGCTTCAGCTAAAAAAAAAAAAAAAAATGCACGATTTACGGTTAAGTTCAGCAGATGCAACAGCAATCTATACTAAGAGAATAATAGAATCAAAAATAAAATAAAGTAGGATGCTCTGTGTCCTGCTGACACTGTAACCACTTCTTTTCTCACACATTTGAGAGGAAAAATCATTTTTGCATCTTGAGAGGAGAAATACTCACAAATGCAGTCGCTTTCCACCAGAATGTGTCTTGGTTCACACTCCTCGCATCGCAGCCCCGAGGCCCCCGGCCTGCAGGTGCACTGCCCCGACGTGCGGTCACAGTGGCTGTGGACAGAGCCGTGCAGGCTGCAGTCACACTTCTGGCAGCTGCCCCCTGGCACCTGAGGGTTGCCATGATAGCCCGAGGAACACCTATAGCAAGGAGGGGATTAAGGCACAGACAGGACGGTCAACACCAGAAAGTAAATTCAGAAATCCGCATTTACCCCTGAACAATAGTCATTTCTGCCCAATGAAAGGCAAAACACACAGATCCATTCATCTCGGGGAAACCGGTTTTGGAACAGTCATGTGGTCCCATATCAACCCTGCCCAGCCAAATTGATAACGACTCCCAAATCACTGTAGTAAGTATGTCCAATGCTTGATAAAAGGAGCAGATGAACCTGACGATTTCCCCGTGAATATTCAACAGCATACCTTTCACAATATTGTCCTTCATAGCCCGGAAGACAGGCATCACAGCGGAAGTCACGGTCACCTTCCAAGACACACGTGGGACTAAAACTGGAAGGAAATAATTTCTTTTTGAACTTTCAGACTCACGACTTCAAGTATTTCTTGAGGTACCTCATTACTCTTAAGATATACCATACTGTTCTTGAAGTTATGTAATTACGCTGGATGATTAAACAAGTTTTTTAGAGCTTACAATCTACTGGAGAAAAAAAGAAGGAAAATCAACATGCAATCAGTATAAGTGTGCACATAACTGGGATCTAAAAGATTGTCTAGGGATAATCGTGTGACTGCCAACTGGAAGAAAACTGATCTCACAGATTTATTTATTTATTAATTATTTTTTTAATCAATATTTTTTATTATGATATTGTGGGGTACAGTTAAGGGCTAGGGATACAAATATGCTTCATTCAGGCACCCTTGTTGTTAAGAGGTGTCTCCCGGATCTCACAGATTTAAACTAAACCGATCTCACAGATTTAGTCACTCCACAGGACAGCTTCCCAGGTAAAAAGGGTCTTGTTCTGAGATTTGAGTGAAGAATTTCCTGGCTTATTAGGTCATAAGGTGACAAGAGCATTGAAATACTAGGAGGGAGCACAAAAAAAACGCAGGGAGAAGTGGGCTGAATACACGCGGACAAGAAGAACTTTCTAACTGTAACGAAAATTACGGAAAACAAGCCAAGGGAAATGAAAGGGAGGAGTTTGGGTGGATTTTGAAAATAAATGGACCTAAAGGTAGGAAATCATGTGGTAGGCAATGGCAAGCAAAATGATAGAGCCACTCGAAGTTTAATCGTCATGGGGACATTGGTGCCCTGCGGCTTTTGGTTTGTTCCATTCTTTCACATTGTAAGTTACCAGTGCACCATCTAGAGGCTGAGCTGGGTATCTGCAAACTATGGGGAGAACAAAAAGTCAAGCCCCGGTTCCCTTTTGGCCAGCAAGATGAAGCTCCCAACCCGAGAGATGAGCCCACACCCCTTCTGACTTTTTTCTTCCTTAGACAGTAAAGGGACAGACTTCATGGGAAACACAAAATATGCAGAAAATAAAACAATAAGGCCTCTTAGATTCAGAGCCCAGACAGGATGTTCATATCCTTACATTCTCTTCCTAATAGCACACACTTTCATTTATTAATGCAGACTTTGAGGACAGTTATAACCTGAGATTTTTTTGTGACTTAAAGAAGTAAGATATTCAAACAGTCCAGAAATGTGCAAAGCAGAAGGGTGAAATAACCTTCCAAATATTTTTTCAGGCACATATAGCTGCATACCTATGGATATTTTATGCATATGAATAGTAAATTTGTTTCCAAAATGGCATCACACTATATGTTCAATGACATACTTCCACTGGCCATTTCTCCAATTCTGTGCCTATTGATATGACTTATTCTTTTCTCAATGTTTGTTTAACATTTCGCTCTAGGAATATGCCACAACATATGTGATCAATCCTTAATAAGTAGATATTTGTTTCTCCCCATTTCTCAGGAGTGCAAGCGTGCTAAAATATATCCATCTTTACACATATATGCAAGTATTTCTACAGCACAGGCTACAGAGAGGGAATAGATGAGTCAAACTAGATATAAAGATTTAACACAAAAATAAGTAATAGTAACAATGCATTTGAGTATGCTTGACAGTTTACAGAGGGAGTGTACACAGTGTCTCTCATTTGGTACTCACCAGCAAGCACCACTTACTTGGAGGCCAGATAAAAATAGAAGATTCAAACTAATATTTCTTTAAAAACCCTTCATTTTCATATACCACATTTGATATTTGATCTTTATATGTCCAACGCCTTGCCAAACATTCTAAGCAATAGTAAAACATTATTGATGCATTACAACTTTCATTTGAACCAAAGAGTACTCTTTGATATCCAAATTCTCACTTAAAATCTCTGGTTCTTTTTTGCATTCATATTATTCTATACAAGCACCATGAGTACAAAGTAGAGACTAATCCCAATTTTATCACCATGTAGCATTTTAGCACTTAATCAGCCACATATATATAAATTCTAATCTCATTCCCTTAAATTAAATGGTAATCAGATTATTTTGTTTCAGTATTCATAAAATTAATAACAATTCATCTTCGTGAAGACTGGATACATATGCTAGGGACTAAAATAAGTCTTTAAAAAACAAAACTTAAAAGTCCTTCCTTGAATTGGCTCCATTCAAACATTCAATACCAACACAGATGATTTGCTTTTGAAAAGATTCTTTTGAGAATGAAGGCTTTTTCTTAAAATTAGCCCTTCTCAACACATGGAGAAGATTCATTAAGACAAACCCTGGAGAATGAGGCTGAAATGGAAGCGGGTTCAGCAGCTGGTGTGCCAGGCTGCACCTGGTCAGGCTCACCTGGCAGGGAGGCTGTGAGGACAGGTACAGGGAGAACAGTCGCCAGCTGAGCCAATTACCTTCCCGTAGTAGCCGGGAGCACACACATCACAGTGGTCACCTGCCGTGTTGTCTCTGCAGTTCTAGGACCCCACATTTCCAAAGAGAGAAGCAATGGGAAATTGTTAGAAATCACTCTTATCTGGTAAGTATTACCGCGTTTCATATCAGTCAGCTTTTTGAAAAATTCTTAAGGAAGAGCATTTTTCCTCTATTTTTTACATCCTAGAAACATTTCCAGTTCTGTGTCCTTCATTCAACATATGACTGCATTCATCTAATACAGCCTAAACATGACTAGTGCATTCTTCTTATGGGAAATAGACACAGGGTCCCTAAAAGCAGACAGTTTTTAGAACCCTAAAAATGGATCTAAAATAGACAGTGACCCCCAAAATGATCTGAAGTGCTAGTTTTGCACATAGCCAGGGTTAGACCATCACATGTACCACTCCTCCAGCAATGGTACACTATCATAGCACACTGTAGCCTTGAACTCCTGGGCTTAAGTGACCCTCCCACCTCAGTCTCCTGAGTAGCTGGAGTCACAGGCACACGCCACCATGCCCAGCAGCTCCAGTTAAATTTTGTCATCATTTGGACCCATGGTCTCGTACTAAAAAAAGAGTACACTTTTTTAAAAAAGCTAAAAGACAAGGTAGTTCTCGCCATCTGATTCCAATTTAAAAATCTTCATTCGCTCGATTTGTCATGATCTAGTCAGTCCTCATGCACAGAATTCCATGTCTGATGCAGTGGGGACAGAAAGATCAGGAACACCAAAGAACCCCTGGGCAAACTCTCTGGCTGACTCATCCTTTTATCCTTGGCGGCAAGAGATGATGTAGACATTTTTTTATATGTTAAAAAAGCTATTTTTAAGTCCCTTTCAAATGAAAAAAAATTCTAGTGTTTTTTATTTTAAAGTTGTATTTCTATATCGCCCGAGGCAAACAGATTTGTCTGGAATCCACTTGACCCCTAAAGCTGATCTCTCTTTAGCAGCAAAATCTGCAGCCTCTTTGTTAAAAAATAAACCTGTTAAATGCTTGTTTTAACAAGCCCTAAAGCTGACAAGGAATAAATGTTGGTTAGTGAGAGAGAACTGAAGCGGATTTCAGGTTTTCCATTACTAATACCAGCAGCAGCATTAAAAACTCCCCCTAGCATACAACGAATTGTGGGCCATCCAGAGTACAGAAGACAAACTACCCCAAGAGCAGCAGGGAAATAAAGACCTATCAATGAGAACGGAAGTGGGCTGAATTCATTGCTGTGGGAAATGCACAGAGAATATCTGTCCCTTTTTTAGTGATATAAAGAGTCTGTCTTATCTCCCAGAAGGCTGTGGAGCGGAGTAGGGAGTGGGTGAGGAGCTTCTGGGCTATCTCCCTGGTGCTTGGTCTCCCCACTCTCTTCCAAGTTGTACTTCTTTCCTACCTATCTCTACTACGATAATACCAAAGGCCTAGTGACCCGAAGCAGGAAGGAACATCCTATAACCAGGTGACAAAACCAGACCCCAAAAAAGTCATGAAGTTTATCTATATGGTAACAAGAATATAGGGAGTGCTTAGGCGATTTTATTAAAGGAAAATAAACCACAAAAGGAATCTAAAAACTGAGGAGAGAAGGTAGGGTCTTGAGCTTATGGAGTAAGGAAGAAGTTGACTCAGGTGCCATATTGGTGGGAAAAACGTCAGGATCTCGTGTCCAGTCAATGCAGTGAGGCAGCAATGATGGAGTGGGCACAAATCCCATCTAGACTGCATCATGGAGATACAGCATCCTTTTTTTTTTTTTTTTTTTTTTTTTTGAGTTGGAGTCTCACTCTGTTGCCCAGGCTAGAGCGCAGTGATACTCACGGCCACTGTAGCCTCGACCGATTGCGCTCAGGGGATCCTTCTGCCTCAGCCTTCCAAGTAGCTGGAACCACAGGCATGTGCCACCATGTCCGGCTGATTTTTTATTTATTGTAGAGATGAGGTCTCACCATGTTGCTCAGGGTGGTCTGAAACCCCTGAGCTCAGGTAATCCTCTCACCTCTGCCTCCCAAAGTGCTGGGATTACAGGCGTGAGCCACAGCGCCTGGCTGACATACAGCACCTTGAGTTATGGAGGGATGTCCCCACCAACCCATGCAGTGAACACATTAGGCGTTGAGCACAGTATTTGAAGACAGATGGTGACACGTCCACTTCGGGATGATGAACAGACGTATGACCACAACCTACGATCACTGAGGGTGAACTGAAGGTATGTGCCCCAAAGGGCTGAAGACACAGGATCTTTGGGCATGGGAAACAGAGATCTGATCAAGTAGTTGGTGTCTGTTAAGATGCTGTCACTTTTCATCAATAAATCTGAACTTACAATTTATCTCCATGGTGCCAAAGAATAAAACTGCACCAACAGGTGCATGATCCAGGGGGATGAGATCCAGGAATAATCAGAGCTGCCCAAAGGTCTTCGGAGCTGTTTTAGAAGTGAGCTCCCCATTGTGGGAGGTACGTAAACATACATTAAATAACTACTTGGCATGGATGTTATAGTTCAAATTTAAAATCTGAAGGAACTCAGACAAGAATAAAAGGAATATTGCAGTCCTTAAATTCCATACTCTTAACCCAGATGCTATTTTCTGTTTAGAACAGGTTTGGGTGACAGAAACTGGCAATAAGTGGTGACAATGAAGGAAGAGATCACTGGGGGTGAACACAGAATACAGATCTGTAAAAAGTGAGAGAAGCTTGAATCAAGATGTATTCTGCTCAACTCTAAGAGACTGCAGACAGCAGTCTAAATTTAGAATCTTTGTCCAGTCCTCTGGCAATGTGTGTAGCCTCTGCCGTGTGCTGCAACGTTCAACTAACAGGCCCAGCTGAGGTCTCCAAGGGGTTTTAAGTAACACCCAGGTAACATATGGCAAATCATTCCCCCTGGAGTAGAGCGCTCCCTGACAGCTGTCAGGCATTACCGACCCTAGGTCAAAGGTCATCCTTCATGGACTGGGCTAAGTGGGCTGTTATTTCTAGGGTACAAATCAACAGATCAGCTGCTGATCTTTCAACTTTGTTCTAGTAGATCTGGGCCAGGAAAGGCAGGGTAATAATGAATGTCCTAGGAATACCCAATCTTGTTAAAGCTGTTAGCTGCACCAAGGAACGATGAAGCATGAAAGAATTGATCACCTTCTGTGTGACCTCTGTCCCCATGACTGGCCAAGGGACTGTTCCAGCTAATTACATCTCACTTTATTTGCCTGAAATCAATTCTCCTTAAATCCTTAAAGGAGATCTTCTCATTTTCTCCATCAGGCCTTTGCTTTTTCTTAGAGCATTAGCTGATTAGAGTGAACACATTTTTGTAAGTGTTGCAGCTATTTGCATCTTCATTAAGTTCGTTTTATCTCGTATGATTGGAATGATCCTTAACTCCACATAGATAATGGAGTCAGCAAAGGTTAACACGTTTCTTTTTCACTGAGGAAAGCCATGCAGTACTTTTTCTAACTTCACCTGTACACTGCTGCAGTTTAGAGATTCTCCCAGTGGAAATTGTCTTTAAATTCCACACACCAAATATTCCTAGATTGGAAGAAGAGGAAGACAACCTGGTGTGGCGGAGGGCAGGTTGGAAGCCCACAGCCCTAACTGCTGTGTTCCAGCTCCTGCGTTTCCTGGTGGTTAGACCCGACCCAGGCTCTCCAAGGCTTCAGATGTGTCTTTCTTGGTGAACAGCTAATTTCCCTTCAATGAGTTATCTGACCTGAGATTAGTTAGTCTTGGCACAATTTATATTGTCAGTGTTTCCACCTGAGTTACTGTAATGAATGAGGTTTCAGGAGTAGGAAATGAATATCAGGATATTTTATGTGACTAGTAAGGCCTGAGTTTGTCCTCACTTAGGGCCATAAGGCTTCTGCGTCACGTGGATGTTTTTCAGAGTTCTCTTGGTGTTCCCAGTCTTGACCTAGGGGAAGGTGGCTGAGAGCAAAGGCATACTAAGATGTGAGTCATTTATTGTGGTATCACCCTCTAGGGAATGTGCATTTTTATTTTATTTTTATATTTTGAGTCAGAGTCTCACTATGTTACCCAGGCTGGAATACAGTGGCTCGATCACAATTCACCACAGCCTCGACCTCCTGGGCTCAAGTGATCCTCCCGAATCAGTCTCTGGAGTAGCTGGGATTACAGATTGGCTAATTTTTTTTTTTATTTTTTGTAAAGATAGGGTTTTGCTGTGTTGCCCAGGCTGGTCTCTAACTCTTAGGCTCAAGCAATCCAAAGTGCTGGGATTACAGGCATGAGACACCGTGTCTGGCCAGAATTGAAATTCATAAAAGAATTTCCACCAACAATGCCAGACCACTTAGCTATGCCTTTCTCAAGGAAATATATTTAAATTTTATATTCAGCTAAATTTAACCTCTCACTAAACCAAGGAAGTGGTGTGATTGTAGACCAGAAATGTAAATACTCAGTGCCTACTCTAATTATAAACATCAGGTGAGCACCCCCATGAACCAGCATACCAGACACTTTCCAGTTTCGGGGTCACACACGTCACTATGGTTGCTGCAATTGCAGGGCACACAAGGAGCAAGCAGAGGACGGGGTCCCCTGCCACCACTTGCTGGGAACTTCCCTCTGTGGTACCCAGGGGCACAGTCCTGAGTAGATGCAAAAGAAAAAAAAATCTGATTAGAATGTGAGCAAAGGACTTAAACAGACATTTTTCCAAAGAAGATATACAAATGGCCAACAGGTGTATGAAACAAGTTCAACCTCACTATCATTAGGGAAACACAAATTAAAAACACAATGTGATACCACCTCACACCCATTACAGAAAATAACAAGCACTGGTGAGGACATGGAGAAACCGCAACCCCTGTGTATTGCTACTGAGAATGTAAAATGGTGTAGTTGCAGTGGAAGAAGTGTGAAGGTTCTTCAAAAATGGAAAACCGAACCACTACGTGATCCTGCAATTTCACTGCTGGGCACCTATCCAAAAGAATTGAAAGCAGGGATTCAAAGAGATATTTGAACCCTCATGTTCAGACAGCATCATTCACAACAGCTAAGATGTAGAAACGACCCAAGTGTCCAACCACAGATGAATGGATAAGCAAAAGGCTGCAAATTCAGACAATGGAGTACTATTCAGTTTTAAAAAGGAGGGAAATCTTGACACGTGTTACATGGAGAAACTTGAGGACTGCCGTGCTAACTAAAATAAGCCAAGCACAAAAAAGCAAATGCTGCTTGATTCCATTTACATGAGGTCTCTAGAGTGGTCAAATTCATAGAGACAAAAAGTTGAATGGTAGCTACAGGGGCTGGGGGAATTGGGAGTTATCGCTGAATGGGTGCAGAGTTTCAATTTTGCAAGATGAAGTGAATTCTGGAGATTGGTTGGTTACATAGCCATGTGAGCGCATCTAACACTACCGAACTGTACACTTAACAATGGTTACGATGGTAAATTTTGTTATGTACATTCTACCAAAATTAATTTTTTTGTTATAAAAAATTATACAATAGATATACATGAACTCTGTTCATCACATGGAGTTTCTATGACAAACATATTTAAACTCAAAACCAGAAAATAGATTTTGACAGAATCTCCCTACCTGACACGAGAACCCCGCGGTGCCAGGAGGACAGACACAACTCTCTAAAAGGGATGCGACCTCCCCCTCTGGGTGCAGTTTCTCAGCCTTTCTGCCAACCTCCATTGAAATATTGGAGATTCTGTACAACCATCATGTTAAGGAATAAGAAAGGAAACACAAACATTTAAAAAACTTTCTAGAAACATAGCACATGACATAATATTTACATATACAGAGGGTGCCAAAAGAGGTATACACATTTTACAAAAGGAAAAACTGTATAAAAATTGTAATACTCAATATATTCCAAAAACAAAAGATGAATACAAGTCACGTTTGACGTCTGCAATGACGAGAGGTGCTCAAAATGGTTACCATCAGTGTCCAGACACTTCTGATTATGGTGAAATAAAGGTAATATGTAGATAATACCACTTTAAATGTGTATACATTTTTTGGCACCCTGGTATATTAAACCAGAGCTTTCCTCCCTGCTGGAGTCGTTTCTACTTGTGATTATAAGCAAAATATGTTAAAACACATTAGTACTGTCATTCCACATCGTAGAACTTAAAAATAATGTTACAAAATTGCACCTGAAACACTCCTTCAAGTACCAACTTGGCCAAGACTTAGTGACTTTCTTTATGGGCTAAAGTAGTAAATGAGTAGGTGACAACATTCTTTACACACCATTACAAAGAAACAGTCATTGCAGTTTTCAAGGGCAAAAATAACCATTTTGCTGTATTTTATCTTCATCTAAGATTCCACTATTATGCACCGGTATGTTATATACACTTTAGCATGGCATGTGGATAATTTAAGTCATAACTCACACATTCCATAGTGATATTAATATTTAACAAGGTCGGACTTGGTGGCTTGGCCTATAATCCCAGCAATTTGGGAGGATGAGGCGAGTGGATTGCCTGAGCCTGTGGGTTTCAGACCAGCCTGGGCACCTTGGCGAGACCTCGTCTCTACAATAAATTAAAAAGCAGCTGGGTGTGGTAGCACGCGCCTGTAGTTCTGGCTTCTTGGAAGGCTGAGGCGGAAGGATCGCCGGAGCCCAGCAGGTTAACGCTGGGGTGACCGTGAGTGTGCCACTGCACTCTAGGCTGGGCGACAGAGTGAGACTCCAACTCAAAAAAAACAAACAAACAAGGTTTTGGTAAGAAACCGGGATATGTGTGTCAATAAAGATGGTAGGTAATGGGAGTGACGTGAGTTAAACCCATTCGGTTTAGTTTCAAATTTTAAAACTATTCAGAATTCTAGAGGCTGCCAAGTACCTGCTTTGCTGTAATCCTTGACCATACGATGCCTTGATGAGGATATACTCAATATTGCTAAGAACGGACATAAAATCCGAGCGTGTGACAGGTTTTTCAGAAACAGAGTTAAAATATTTCCAGAAGTTCTGTGGATGAAAAACCCATTCAGTTAGGTTCAGAGTACAAATTCTGACAGGCATATGAACTTATGAAGAACACGTTTCTTTTATAAATTTCCCCAGAAATGAGCCCTCCTGTGTGCATGCCACTTAATTTAACTGACGAAGACCTCTGGTAACCTCACCCGGCAGGCACCGTGTCATTTATCAGCAAATAACACATTACCTAAGGCAGCGCCAGCCACACGATGACTGTCCAATCAATATCTGCTAGAAGAAGAAATGGACACTTCCCAAATTTGAGCAAGTCCAAAGACTTCTGTGCCATTATATCTAGATAGGTTGAGGCTAGAGAACCAAGATGAAGGATTTAAGGTGTAAGTCCCACTAAATTAACCATTAAGCCCAATAGGCATTTCATGGGAATATATAATTTGAATAGTTTTTAAGAAATCTTCCCGAACCCATTGGAATTTTGATCCCAGAGTCTTCTTGCTCATTCTCTGCGGCTCTGAGCCATCAAACAGCAAAGTTTACACCTTAAGGAAATTATGTGAGATTATGTGAAAAGATCACATCATCACCTCTTTCATTCCTGCTTCTCGTTCCTGTCTCACTCCATTCTCCGGTGCTGGGGTATCCATGTAAATGACTTGCTTTCTGGTCCGACCTCCTTTGATGAGCACTTGAGGCTCGAAATTGGAGGCACCGATGCCATCAGAAGAATAGAAGGCCACACTGTACTTTAGCTTGCCACCGTAGGCCATAAGCTATCAAATAATAAATTGTTGATTATGTCTCTAACATAGCCTTGCTTGAAAAACGTTTTATTGCAAGCCTGCCACCATATAAGAGAAATCTTGTACCTTAAACATGCATCTCCATGACAAAATCCAGAATAACAAATCATGTCCTCATGATTCAAATTACGTTCAAGCTCCTTTTCATGAAAAGTTATCTATATTTGCAGGAGCACTGGATGTAGATTCGCAAATTTTAAAGATTAGAGTAAATTCACATATTGACTCTGTTGTTTAGATCAACAATAATGCAAGTGATGCCTTTTACGACTCTTTTATAGTAGGGTTTCTTCCCCCTCTGAAATGAGTAATGGTTGAGAAGGCCTCCCAGGCCACAGCACGTAGGTTTGTGTTGATCTTATATTAGTAAACACAATATAATCACGTGCTGCATAACAACGTTTTAGTCAATGTCAAGCCACATATTCAATGCTGCTCCCATAAGACTGTAATGTTTATTTCTAATGTACTTTTTCTAGGATTAGGGATGTTTAGTTACACAAAACTTACTGTTGTGTTACAATTGCCTATGGTATTCAATACAGTCAACACTGTACAGGTTTGTAGCCCAGGAGCAATAGGCCAGACATATAGCCTTGGGGTGTGTAGGCTATCCCACTTAGGTGTGTTAAGTACATGCTAGAATGTTCACACAATGACAAAATCGCCTAATGACACCTTTCCAAGGGTTATCCCCTTTGTTATGCCACATGTGACTGTATATGTTTGCTGAATTACTGCTTTAGGAAGGAGATAATTAATAGACTTCCAAAATTAGTGAAAATCTTAAAAGAACCATACATTTGGGGAGATTTTTATAACTACTCAACTTCTCCATCCCCACTTAAAAAAGGAAGTGAATAACCACCCTTTTGAATGACAGGCCAACACAGAGCATAGTGCTTCTAAACTACACCCATATTCCCCCGGAAACAGTGGCGGGTTCCAGGCCGGGCATGTGCCTCACCTGGTCTCCCTGGAACTGTGGTGGGAGCCGCCAGTAAAACGGCTCTGCGTGAACATGCTGCCGGACAGTCACGGCGTCCAACAAGACATCTGGGGCCTGGTAGTACACCCCATCAGTTGTGCCCTTCAGGTTACTCTGAGACACCACACGCAAAAGAGGATGATCTGGGCCCAACGTCACCTAGTCATCGAAGCGGGGAAAAATACACTTCAGAACATGAACTCATCACCCACGTTTGATTTGCTGGGTTCCACCATTGTTTCTCAGATGAAACAGCTTGATTATTAAAACAGGAATTGTGAAGACTTTTCCTTTCAACTAAACAATCTGGATTAAAATTAACATTCAGTGCTTTTAACTGCTGTATTTAGGGTGAAACTATTGCTACACTTGGGAGATGTCCAATGACATGCAGGAGATGGTTGAGATGCTGCAGGTTTAATCTTTCCAACTAAAGCTTTTGATAGATTAGCTGAGAAGCAGCACCAAAAGCCTTTAGTTCAAGCTCCATTTATTCCCTCGGCCAGCAGAAGTACAGCTCTGATTCATGTACTCGCCCAAATTGGCTTCCTAGAATTTCTCATGTCACAAGAGCAACATTTAATGTGAATACTTGACTGTGTCGGCTACCCTCGCCCACCTCCCACGGGGGAAGGGATGGAAACAGAACATTTCGACTGTACGTGACTTACTGGGGTCCTCACATAACCTTCCAGCTCAGAGCAGAGGTGGGTTAGCCCGAAGCAGAAGCAAGGGCTGCATCCCAGAGGGTTGTCTGCACGGAGAGCAAAGGCGCCCTCTCGACATTCGCTGCACTGAAGGGCAATGACGTTTTCCTAAAGGGAGACAAATAAAGGACTTACTTTTGCTTAAAAAAAAGAAATGTAATTTCTGGACAAAGAGAAATGAAATCAAACACAAAAATCATTCCAGAAATAATTTTAGATCCAAAAGCATCACTGTTTCGTTGGACCAGGTCTCCAGCTTCCCTGATTGCTGGTTCTCTCAAAGACTCAATCAATGATTCCCAAACAAATGTATGATCAGAATCATTTTGGAAGCTTCTGGAAAATCAGATTCCCTGATGAGAATCCCCTGGGAAAATCCCAGAATCCCCCTGGAGTCCCCAGGTAATTCTGACGATCTGAGTATAGAGAAGAACTGACCAGGTGATTATTAGGCAGGTTCCTACCATTCTGATTATCTGCCATGAGAATTGTTATCATAGAATGTGATGAGTCAAAAATAAGGAGACTGATGTTTCCATCACTCCCTGGCTGTAATATCTATGTGAGTTTCTCTTCTTCATCTCCAGTGACCCATCAAGCCATTAGCATCATCAAGCCAGGTCATAGGTGTCTCCTGACATCCCCCTCACATCACAGTTACAGGGAACACAGTCTGGAAAGTCTCTGAAACCCAAGGGGGAAGGTGGCAATGACCTCGTAATAAGAAAGCACACTGGGAAAACTAATGAAAACATAAAGAATTTTAAAATGACATTAAAATCTTATCTCCTGGGAAAATAATAAACACAAATTTCCCTCTGACTGGTAAGCACAACCTGGAGCATAATAATCTCACAGCTAAGCTGGGCTCGGTGGCTCAGCCTATAATCCTGCGCCTTTGGGAGGCTGAGGTGAGTGGATTGCCTGAGCCCACGGGTTCAAGACCCTCCTGGGCAGCGAGACCTCATCTCTACAATAAATCAAAAATAAGCTGGGCGTGGTAGCGCATGCCTGTAATTCCGGCTACTTGGAAGGCTGAGGCAGAAGGATCGCCGGAGCCCAGGAGGTCGAGGTTGCAGTGGCCGGGAGCGGCCACTGCACTCCAGTGTGGGCGACCGAGTGAGACTCCAACTCAAAAAAATAAAATAAAATAATTAATAATAATCTCACAGCTATAGCATCACAAATCTTCCTGAAGCTCTGTGACATCTCTTACCTGTATATTCAAGATAGGTTGGCCACTCAGCCCACTAGAATACACGATTACAAATTCAGAGTGTTTTTCAAATCAGTTCCATCATCTGACAGGTAATTAACAGTAAAAATTTCATTTTGAGAATCTTCCGTCATTTTAGAGAAGCATGACAGACTTGAAACTCAGACGCAGAAGGGAGTGTGAACTCCTTAGAAGTGTCTAACACCTCGCTGCTTGCTTAAGCAGTCAAAGCCCAAGAGTCACAATGACGAGCTGGAGACAGGAAGAAAGCGGAGGATGGATACCTTGCAAGAGCAGGAGCCAGTTTCTTCCTCACAGCTGCAGAGACCCTGGTCCAGGTCACAGGTGTCTCCCGACGTCCCCCTCACATCACAGTCACAGGGAACACAGTCTGGAAAGTCTCTGTAACCCAAGGAGCACTGATCACACCTCCGTCCGCCAAATTCCGACTTGCATTGGCAATGGCCAGTAAGAATGTCACACTGATGACTGATTGATCCCACATGACTGCAGTTGCAGGCCTGAGAGGAAAAAAAATCACTAACTAAATAAAAGGCAGATGCTTTATGTTTCACCATGTATACATATTTGGATTATAGGAAAATACTAAATGTGGGAAGCTGTGCAAATGAACTTATATCTCTTTCGCATGATTGCTACATGGGTTCACTTTGCCACATACCAACAGGAGACAGGGACAGCATCATTGGACATCTGTGTGTCTTAGTGACATCAAGCCAAAATTGTGAGCTGAAATTAAATCTAGTAGGCTAAAATGGTCTGGCAGAATTATTTTAGAAGTCAGGTAATTTTTTCATGGTTTTCAAAGCACAAACCATATTCAAGTTTAACTGAAGAAAGTTACATAGGAAACTAGAACCCTCACAGATTGAAAGTATTCTCCTCCCGCAAGGAAGTGGTTTATGACTTAAAAGACAGTATACATTGCACCACATACCAGGGGTGCCAAAAAATGTATACACATTTTAAGAGATGCTGTCTAGTATTACTTTTTTTTTTTTTTTTTGAGTTGGAGTCTCACTCTGTCATCCAGACTGGAGTGCAGTGGCCGCTCCCGGCCACCGCAGCCTCGACCTGCTGGGCTCCCGCGATCCTTCCACCTCAGCCTTCCAAGTAGCCGGAATTACAGGCAAGCGCTACCATGCCCAGCTGATTTTTTGATTTATTGTAGAGATGAGGTCTCGCTGCCCAGGCGGATCTCGAGCCTGCGGGCTCAGGCAATCCACTCACCTCAGCCTCCCAAAGGCACGGGATTATAGGCTGAGCCACCAAGCCCGGTGTAGTATTACTTTTCAAAGGTGAATTGAATTACGGTAGCAATGTATAATTGCAGAAGCCACACATAACTTGTATTCATCTTTTATTTATTTATTTTTGAGGTGAAGTCTCACTGTGTCACCCAGACTGGAGTGCAGTGGCATGCTCCTGGCCACCGCAGCTTCGATCTGCTGGGCTCCGGCGATCCTCCAGCCTCAGCCTTCCAAGTAGCCGGCACTACAGGCGCGCACTACCACACCTGTCTAATTTTTTATTTATTGTAGAAACGAGGTATCACCAAGTTGCCTGGGCGGGTCTCGAACCCTCAGGCTCAGGCAATCCACTCGCCTCGGCCTCCCAAAGTGCTGGGATTACAGGCTGAGCCACTGGTAGTCACCTTTTGTTATTAGTATATATTGAGCATTACAATTTTAATACAGTGTTTTCTTTTCTTAAAAGGTGTATACATTTTTTTAAGTGTCCTTTGTATTTAAAAAGCACTGAGATTTTTAGTTCTTTTTGGATTTTCTAGCCATCAATTTCACTGTTAGGTTCTCAAAGAAAACCTGGGAAAAGGTGTTTTGAGGGTACTGTTCTCCCTTCACCTTGATTCCTAAGAATCTGAATGACTTGTAAACATAAACCCCAAAGCGCTTCAACAGGTGAAAATGGAGCAAATAGATCAAAGGAATGCAACTTGCTACAGCGGAGTGACTCTCAGACAAGACAGCACAGCGATGACAGCACACACCTGGCACCCTGTCTCCGGGTCATGGCCCCAATGCTCCTCCTTGCATTCCTCACACTTCACACCCCGCGTATGAGGAGGGCAAACGCACTCGCCAGTCTCTGGGTCACAGGTGTTCTGAGTATGCGCACAGTCACAGGCTAAGACAAAGACAGGCGTTTTGTTACAGATCTGGGCGATCGGTAATTACAGGGGTAAGAGATGATACTGTCGCTTCCCTTTTATAAAAGTCTAGCGTATTCTCCTAGTCCCTAAAAGACCTCATGATTCCCAAGACCCCTTGGTGTCTCAGGGGGGTTGCTGTCCCTCCATGCCAAGAGATGCCACTAGACGTGAGGAAATCGGGAGAGGATGGGAACCGCAAGGAAAAGAATGGAAAAGACCTTGCTGTGTGGGAAGAACATTGGAGCTAATATGTACTCAGCACTTACTGTGTGCCAAATGCCTTGGTAGGGACTTTACGTACAGCCCTTACAATGGCTTCTTGATGATGATTATACTTCGCTTCCCCATTTTACATATGTGGAAACTAAGGCTAAGCGAAGCTAAGGGGTGGATCTAATCTCCCACAATTAGTAGGCAGCTGAGCCGTGGCCAGAATTTACGGTTGTACCCTGATAGGGACAGGGAACTAGAAAAAAAATGTATAAAATCCTTAACACAAAGGAGAGACAAAGTAAAGGAACTTAACACAAGTTAATCAGAAGTCAAGGGAGGGCTCCAAGAAACACCTGGGAATGCCTATAAAGTCTCAAACAAAGAATTCAAGAGCTTACGTGTACAGCCACCATCCTGGTCGGCATAGAAGCCATGGGCACACCTGTCACACTTCTTCCCTGCTACACCTGGGACGCAGTGACACTGGCCTTCCTCTGTGCAGTTGTCTGACACGGAGCCCGCCATGCTGCAGTTACAGGCCTGGCAGCCAAATCCTGAGTCCAGCCCATAGTAGCCATGCTATTTTACCAGAGGGAAGAACATGGAAGTCAACATATGTTTTAACAAGCAACGACGTGTACTCAAATGTTTTTCAAAACACATGCAGGATGTTTCATAGACCCGTAAAGTGTTCAAGACAAGATTCCCCTCCCTTCGACAGAGAACACCCATCCTCTCCTCGGGGAAGCGTAGCGTTCACCAGCCATGGTTAGGGAGTCAGCACTTTTTGACAGTCTTGAATTCAATTTCTGATGAACCAAGCTAAGGAGCCAACTATACACATCCCTGTCACATATTTTAATTGCATGCAATGACCAGTAAGCATCTTACCGAGCACTTGTCACACTGTCGTCCAGTCACATGTGGTTTGCAGTCGCAGAGTCCAGTCTCAAGGTGGCACACAGCAGAAAGGGACCCCTTCTCATGGCATTCACAAGCTAATGTGCACACACATAAAAGACATGTTACTGTTCACTTCTGGGTATGATTATCATAAGATCCTTAATCCCCAAAGGAAAAAAATGAAAACATTCAATATTTCAAATCACAAAACTTAAAAACAAAAAGTTACTTTGCAATAACTTTAAAAGTTTATCATTTTCCTGAAAAGTAAACCAAAATAGGGCTAGTGGAAGGAACCATCACAGAAAAAATAACTTAAGCTACTAAGATGATAATTAACAAACTCATCTGACCAATTTCATGAATTCCTTGAAGTTTTTAAAAATGAGCTACAAATTTCCATGAAAAACAAGCAATGGCGATTTCAAAGTCACTTGGCCATTGGCTCCCATTCCAGGCATGCATTTATTTAATATTGTAAAGCTTACTTATAATATGAGCTAGATAAGTATGCATGAATATTATATTCACAATTTAATGAAAAATATTTTCTTGTTCTAAACCATGAATCATTTGTAGTTTCAGGCCAGATATTTCGGATTTATCTACCGTTGTGACATTGATGTTTAAAGTTACAAAGTTCCCCACCTTTCCAAAGTGATGCAACTTAAGAGAATCAAACAACATTTGATTGATATTCATGGGACAAGCCTCAATATGAACTTCAGTTAGAATATTTAATATGCTCACTGACAAATTTATCCAAGCCACTATGAATGTTTGGACTTGGAAAATGTATAGTGTCTGTCATGATACAACGATGTAAGCAAAGCAAAGAAAAGAACTTCACGAGTTATGGAAAGCCCATGCACAATGTGTGAGGCAGCTTGCTGTGGCAGGAGTGGTGGACCCTGGAAACTGGAAGGTTGGTGTCAGAAGAAAGGCATTGGAATGCTGCCTCCTTAACCGACTGACACCAACCAGCCTGGACCAAGGCCTTGGGCCTCTCTCCTGCCCTCTGTTTTCCGGGTGTGTGTTAATGCCACAGCTCTGAGGGAGACTCCCACCTCGGTGGCCTTCAGGGACTTACTCCTCCGTCCCTGTAGGCCGACTGTGCGCACTCTACTGCCAATTGCTCATCATGTCCCTCTCAACTGGCCTGGCACAACACGAGACATACACTCACCTCCCTTAACTCTCCACCTGAGATTCCAGCTCCTGGGGGCTCCCTCCTTTCCCGCTCTCCCTTCCCCTTAGCATGGCTGTCCAATCCTGGCCCCTTACCTGCTAAAACTGCTCTTCCTAAAGTCTCCAGCGAGAGCCCAAGTGCCAAAATCAGTGAGCAGACATCAGACCTTATCTTACTGAATCTTTCTGTGGAGTGGGACCCTGACCGCTCTCTCCCTTTTGAGCCTTACTCTCACTAGGTTTGCAGGGCACCACCCTCTTCTTGTTTCATTCCCATCTCTCGTGTACCTCTTGCTGTATCTGTCTTGCTTTGTCTGTCTCGCCCTTTCCCTCTGGGGACTATTTAACTTTCAATGCAGGTGTGGTCATCGCAAAATACTGATGTTAATACAAAACTCAAATTTCTTATACGACGTGTTTGTCAGCTTGTGCCAGTCACATTCGGCATTTCTTTGAACCTTCTTAACAAACTTAGGAGGGAGGTGTTATAATTTTCTGTATTTTTCAGTACAAAATCTAAAACTTAGAAAGATTATATAGCTTTCCATAAGTCACACAGCTATTAGTAGTTCTTAAAAATAATAATTATTAGTTAAAATATGACGTTATAAAAATACTAATTTAACACAGTGGCCAATTACTGACTAGCCAGGTACTTTATATTCATTTTAATTCTCCTAAGTACATGACAATATACAAATTATACTCATTTAATTTATTTCATCTATGTTTCCTTTGATGTTAGAGCTCTGTGGAGTTTCCCACAATCCTCATCTGCCTCAATGCTCTACCTGGACGAAATATCCATACCCACTACTTCAACTGCTACCACAGCAGAGGCAGAAGGTGAACTTGACTGATCAGTTCATTATCTTGCCATCCTTCCCAAGAGTAGGGGGGAAAGGTGAATAAACAGATAAATGCTGGATTAAACCACATGAAACTTTTTTAAAAGGTCAAGGCCAGGCTTGGTGGCTCAGCCTATCATCCCAGCACTTTGGAAAACCGAGGCAAGTGGATTGCCTAACCCCCAAGTTCAAGACCAGCCCTGGCAACTTGGTGGGATCTTGTCTCTACAGTAAATTTAAAAAAAAATTAGCCAGGTGCGGTAGCCCGGTGGGGTGGCCGTGACCATGTGTGCCACTGTACTCCAGCCTGGGCGAGAGAGTGAGACTCCAATTAAAAAAAAAAACCTCAATAATATAGAACACTGGCATTTTCACTTGGTTTAAATGAATAAAATATAGCATTCTATACAAATGTGGGGACCTATGGGAAGCCCAAAGAGCGAGCCCCATTATAGAAATGTAAGGACTTCTCATGAATTATCCGGAAACAGTTCCTAGGTGTTTGTCTTATCAAAGTTAGGGGAGGCAAAAAAGGAAATGAGAAATAAAAACTGTAAATGCTCAGAAACTAGAGAAAGCCTAGACAGCATTGTCTCCATAACTAGCCCATTCCTATCCATTCTAACATTCCTCCCCCACCTTGCAAGCCACCACTATGACCTTCTGTTTTATGTCTCCTTTTATCTCCATGGTCAAGGCCCTACCTGAAGCCCTCATTGACTTTGCCATTCATTTTCACTTCTGGTCTTGTCTCCTATCCCAAAACCCCCACAGCCAATCTCTCTACAACAATGGCGGCTGAGTGAACATTCAGACACACAGCTCTGATTATATCCTACCCTGTTCAATGTCTACGAGGGTTGCGGGTGAGTTCCAGGATGGGATAGACGGTGTAGCCTCAGCTCCTAAGCACTGCACGAGACCCTGCCAACATGGCTGCTTTCCACCTGTCACCTCGAGACACCCTGTGCTTTCCACCACTGTCTCTTCCATTCTGGCCGTGTTCTCTCAGCCTCCACTCAGGGTCAGTCTACCTGCTTGCCTGGGCCCCATCTTCTCCCGATTTGTCAGCCTTCTTGGGACTCTCCTCCTCATCTTTCAAGTCTCAGATTAAGCAGCACTTCTCCCCTGGACGCCTTGGGCATTGAACACGTCCTTCCTCTGTGTGTCTAAGGCACACCCCAGGGAGGTCATTCATTGCCCTTGACCTTGGCTGTCCTGTAAGTAGCCACTAACCACATGTGCCTACTGAATGCTTGAGATGTGGCTGATGCAACCAAGGAACTGAATCTCTCATTGAATTAATTCTAAATTAAATATTGAAGGAGTGTTATCACATGGATGCCAGTATTAAAGAAAATGACTTTTTGGTACATGATGGAAAACTTTAAAATATGTTCGAACCACACTTTTATGCAAATTGTATGTCATCTAAATATAGATCAAGTATTTCTGATGAAATTTAGCATCCTACTTGAGCTGGGCTATAAAATAAATACTGAATTTCAAAAATTCAGTATTAAAGAAGAAAGTAAGTATGTCTTTAATGCTTTTAAAACTTTATTACATGATAATTTTTTTAACATTTAGGTTAAATAAAATACAAGGGGAGACCCACCCCCAAATGGAATTGTGTATTTGTTCTTACTGCTAAAACTTCAGCCACCTTCAAAGTACTCTCTGCTTGATGCAATACAACTATTGAGGTGCTTTTTGTTCCACAGCTCAAAGCAAGTTTTTCTTTCTTTCTTTTTTTTTTTTTGAGTTGGATTCTCACACCCATCGCCCAGGCTAGAGTGCAGTAGAATGCTCATGGCCACCCCAGGGTCAACCTGCTGGGCTCTGGCAATCCTTCTGCCTCAGCCTTCCAAATAGCCGGAACTATAGGCATGTGCTACCATGCCTGGTTAATTTTTAAATTTATTGTAGAGACAAGGTTTCACCAAGTTGCCCGGGCTGGTCTTGAACCCGTGGGCTCAGGCAATCCACTCGCCTCTGCCTTCCAAAGTGCTGGGATTACAGGCCGAGCCATCGAGCCTGGCCAAAAGATTTTTTAAAAAAAGAATTAATGTATATTTTAGCCACACAAAATCATCTCTATACACTTGAACGTGTACACGTTTATTCAGTCTCTAGTGTGTATATATGAAACCAAGGACTTCTTTTTTTTTTTGAGTTGGAGTCTCACTCCTTTGCCCAGGCTGGAGTGCAATTGCACACTCATAGCTACTTCAGCCTTCACCTGTTGGGCTCCGGCGATCCTTCTGCCTCAGTCTTCCAAGTAGCTGGAACTACAGGTGAGTGCTAACACCCCTGGCTAATTTTTTGATTTATTGTAGAGATGAGGTCTCACCAAACCGCCCGGGCTGTTCTTGAACCCATGGGCTCAGGCAGTCCCTTTACCTCAGCCTCCCAAAGTGCTGGCATTATAGGATTGAGCCACCATGCCTGGCCTTTTATTATTTTTTTTTTGAGTTGGAGTCTCACTCTGTCGCCCAGACTGGAGTGCAGTGGTCGCTCCCGGCCACCGCAGCCTCGACCTGCTGGGTTCCGGCGATCCTTCCGCCTCAGCTTTTCAAGTAGCTGGAACTACAGGCGCACACTGCCACGCCCGATTAATTTTTTGATTTATTGTAGAGATGAGGTTTTGCCTGCCCAGGCGGGTCTCCAACTCGCGGGCTCAGGCAATCCACTCACCTCAGCCTCCCAAGGCGCGGGATTACAGGCTGAGCCACTGAGCCCGGGTGGTCATATTCTTAATCAGAGAGCAGCAAACATTTTCTGTAAAAGGCCAGACGGTAAGCCTCTGAAGCTCTGCTGGCAACAACTCAACTCTACCTGCCACTGCAGCCCAAACAGACACTACTCTATAAGAACAAATGTACAAAAATAGGCAGCAGGCCAGAATGGGCCGGCGAGTCACATTAAAACTGTTTTTGAACTCCTCAGTTTTGATGCTTTATACTCTTTCTGCCGTTTTTTGTTTTACCTCTTCCACGTCGGCAAAAATGTTTCCCTTTGAGGACTGTTTTCATCTGAGGAAACAAAAAATGTTGCTTGGGATGAGATCAGGTGAGTAGGGAGGGTGGGGCACGAGGTTCGTGCAGTTTTTGGACAAAAACTGCTGAACACTCAGCGAGGTGCGGACAAGTGAGTTCATAAATTACCCAGCATGAAATGGGCAAACGGGTTGAAAGAATCTCCAAAAAAAAAAAAAAGCCGAATGCAGCTTCTCACAACAACACTAGCCGGTACACTGATGCTGATGAGTTCCTAGAACACTTACCTAGAGGGAGAAGCCTGTCCTATAAAGGGTTCACCCTCCAAAAACCAATTCTGGTTGTTTTTTGGGTCTCCCCTTGTACATTATTAAATACATTTCACCTATTTCTTTTTACTTTTTAAAAATGTGGTTGCTAGAACATTTTAAGTTACATATGTGGCTTACAATATATTTCTACTGGTCAGCACTGGTTAAAAAAATGCAAATGACTATCTTATTACTGGTAATTATAAAAGCTACAGTTATTTAATGTCTAGAATTTTAATTTTTTTTTTTTAGTCGGAATCTCATTCTGTTGCCTAGGCTGGAGTGCAGTGGCAGGCTCATGGATACTGCAGCCTCGACCTGTTGGGTACCCGAGATCCTTCTGCCTCAGCCTTCCAAGTAGCTGGAAGTGGGCGCTACCATACCGGCTTATTATTTTATTTTTTAATTTTATTCTAGAGACAGGTGTGGGTTTCTTTCGTTTCTTTCTTTCTTTCTTTCCTTCTTTTTTTTTTTTTTTGAATTGGAGTCTCACTGTGTCATCCAGGTTGGAGTGCAGTGGCACACTCACGGTCACCACAGCCTCGACCTTCTGGACTGAGGCGATCCTTCTGCCTCAGCCTTCCAAGCAGCTGGAACTGCAGGTGCGCACACCACGCCTGGTTGACATTTTGATTTACTGTAGAGATGAGGTCTCACCAAGTTGCCCAGGTTGGTCTCAAACCCCTGAGCTCAGGCAATCTTCTAGCCTCGGCCTCCCAAAGTACTGGGATTACATGCTTGAGCCTCTGCGCCCGGCTTTAGAATTTTAAATTTATTATCACATTGACATCGCAGAAAAGGTTTAATATACACATATAATAATGTCTATTTTACGTATGAAGAGATAGTGGCTTGGAGAGGCTAACAGATTTGCCCAATGTCACATAGCCAGTCCTGGAATCAAATCCACATTAGTCAGACTCCAAAGACCGGGATTTCCAGGTGTGCTTTTCCCCATTCCCTGGGTAGTTTCCCAATAGATTTGGACCATAATTTTACAGCTACCTATCACAACAATTGGTATAGTGCCTGGGAAACACCAGTCACTTAATAAACAATGAATGAGCAAAGGAGTGAATCATCAAGGCTTGCAGTAAAGATGAAAAGAAATGATGGAAGAATTGTGAAAACATTATGTAAACTGTGAGGCATTACACAAGTATTAGTTATCCCAATTACCCTGTTGTGATAACCAATCAAGACGGCTACACTGCTGAAGATCAGGGCTATAAAACATTTTCAATCTCTTACTGTATGCCTGTGAAAATGTTTTCTGTGTCGCTGGCGCCCTCTTGTGTCTCCACATTGTAATGGCACAGTAGGATTTCAGCATTTACATGGAATTATCAAAATCATTTATGATCGCCACTTTTATGGTTTTGCCCCTTCTTAGAGACTGCACAAAGAAAGAGCATATGAGGGCTGAATCATTCCTAAGGCTGAGTCTACTGAGGTATATGTAAATCGACTTTTCTTCATGAGTGGGTCCACATGAGCTATCATTTCAAGGCTCAGAGGATAGCCTGGCAGAGTCGTGGGGGGTCAGGTTGCTCAGGCAGACTGCCAAGACGAAACCAACATCAGGCTTCATGAGAGTTCAAGGGCTAGAGTCTTGCCACTTCCCACCCTCATTTTGCAATCCCATCTGCCTCATGCAACCTCTGCCTCTCCTCACAAACGTGACAGGCTTGGAGCTTTGTTCCTCCTTCATTTCAGTTGCTGGGAGCAGGGCTGGTACTCTGGGAAATGTCATTGTCTCCTAGACTGGAGGAGACATACTGTCCTGGCCCTAGACCTCAGGATAGGAACTAACCCAGCTAACACGGAGCAGCTAGGGAAGTGGGCCTTGGGTCTACATGAGATCAGTTAGAGACCCTGCGATGTTGATACCGGTCCCTAGTAGGCTGAGCCCTGATGCACACATGGGAGGAGGTGGACGTGGGCTTCCCATGGCGATGAGGAAGGGGACCTGGCCAGGCCCTGGCACTCACCGCGGCAGTTTTTGGCTGTCACGGCGTCCCCGTAGAAGCCGTCTGCACACCTTTCACAGTGGGGGCCATCCGTGTTCCCCAGGCACTTCAAGCACTCCCCGGTGACCGAGTCACAGTGACCAGCCTCCGAGGGGTCCACGTTGCCACTGCAGTCACACGGAATGCAGGTCGCCCCGGGCACGGTTGGGTTTCCATAGTAGCCATCTGCACATCTACGTTAAAGATGGGAAGTGGGATCAAACAAGCGCCGTCACTCAAGACCTTTCCCCACTACCCGGGACTCCTTGAGTGACTAATAAATCGCATGGACTCTCTTCCATAGGATTTACTGTGACAGGGATACGATCCCACGCTAGGGCATTCACATTACTCCCACGCCCGTTGAGAAGAGCAGAGAGGGTGGCCAAAATGAGGCATAAATCCAGAACACATGTGACTGCGACCTGGTTGACCTTGACCCACCCCGACCACTTGGGACCGTGCAGCTCTCCTAGGGGCGTGGCCAAAGCTGGGCACCAAGATGCATATATGGGAGAGGATGACACTGGCTTTCAGAAGCCAGAAGACAGCTATCCAGTCAACTGCCCGTCACCTACAGAATTACCCAGAGCAACGGAATGTTCAGACGTGTCAGCTGCCCATACTGACTTCCAGCTGCTTCCAGCTGTTCTTGAGAACTCAGATTGGCCAGGAAAAAATACTGCTCTTTAAACATTCCCAGCAAGCTCTGACACTAAATTTTTTAATGACGTATTCGATTTTCTCTGTGATTCTATGAAACAATAATTTTGCATCAAAACTTCCAAACCACACTTAACCTTATTTAAAAATAAACACACGACTTATATTCGGTTTTTAAAAATGTTAACGCAGCTTTTTTAAACCAGCGACACAGAGTACCTCTCACACCACGTTCCCGAGTATCCCAGGGCACACTGGTCACAGACCACTTCGTCCCCGTCATCGAGGTGGCAGGTAGGGCTGAAACTGCCAAAACATGAGCAGTGAATGCAATTTTCCAGTGGATGGTGGCGAATCTCAAATGTTCGAAATACTCATATTCGATCACTCCTTTGCCTATACACTTTCAACAGGCCCTCACTCTTTGGCTCAGAACCCGAGCCCTCGGGCCACCCAGCCCACCCTGTGACCCTCACCTGTCCCCCGTCCCTTATTCTGGGCACTGGTCCCTCACTGCTCCCCGGTCCCCCCATCCCTCGACCCACAGTACCCTTACTTCTCCCCTTCTCTGCCTGGGCTGGCCCACCTCAGCCCCAAGGCCCGACTCAGCTACTGCTTCCTCCAATCCAGGAGACCTGTTCAGATGCCCCTGGAAGCTGGTTCCTCTCCTTGTTCCCTGGCACTAGGCTTCCAGCCTCGGGGCCCAGCCCACGCCGGCCAAGAGCAAACATGCTTAAACATGACATTTATCAGTTGACTCTTGGCCCTCCCAAGAGTCACTGCTGACTGAGGTCTCTCCACACCCTGTTCCTGAGTCTCAGGGTGGCTTGCTGGGGGTGGTTGGCAGTACTTCTCACGAGTAACCCTATTGTGTCTTTTTTTTTAGACTGGAGTTTCAAATAAAAATCCCTGTGGGGGATTTCTTTGGGAGTGGGTGGAGGAAGCGTTCCAAAGGTTAAACCAGTGAGAGAAGAGGCTGTCAGGCTGCTGTCCCGCGGGGCGCACATGCCCCAGCCTGACGTACAAGGCCTTGCTGGCCTGTTTCCTTCTACCTCTCCGCCCCCACCCCATGCTTTCTGCTCCAGGGCCCTCTGCAACTCCTCAGACAGGATGTGCCACTCCTACAGCCATGCCTCAGCACTCCTGGCTCCTGCTGCCTGGAACCACCGTCCGTGCTGTCCGTGGAATTCCTTGTCAACCTCCAAGTCTGAGACAAGAGTTTCCTGCACCCACCCGAGTAGGCTGGGCGCTGCCTTCCCTCTGCCACTGCCACACAGTCTGGAGGACAGGCCTCCACCCTAGTCATGGCCACACATGAGTCCCTGGGGCCAGCAGCCAGGTGTGAAGAGCCCGAGATTAAGAGCACCTTCTGTTGACACCCAGGACCTAGCAGTCAGGCAATGCACATTTGGTGAACCAATGAGTCAATTCAGGTCCTCTTCATTTAGCCTCATATGTATGAAATTTGGTGATCAGAGCAAAACTCCTGAAGCCCAGGGATGATGTCTTATTTCTCCCTGTGTCCCTTCTAACTCCCAGTCCCGTGGTAGGCATACAATATACACGTGTGAAAGAAATGATCATCAACATGAGACCAAGAGGGACCACTGTATGCACATGCACTTGCTACCACACTCCTAGTCTCGCATACTGTAGTATGCCTAACTTTTTTTTTTAGAGATAATCCATCCCTCTGTCTTTAATACAAATCGATTACCACTGGGTACGCTAATTGCGCACAAAACCTTGCTCTGAAGAGATGAGTACCATGTCAGTGGATGTCCTGGCAGGAGCAACTGCGGGGGCGGGGGGGTGTCTCAGACTTACTTGTTGGAGGCTGTGGTAAGAGGGCAGGCGCAAGGCTGGCAGTCCCCTGGAGTCCCTCGGAAAGGATGCCCGTAGAAGCCAGGCAGGCACTGCTCACAGTGATCCCCAGTGGTGTTGTGCGCGCAAGCCTACGGCACACACACGAGAAGAGGAATCCGCTCAGTTGCCTTACAGGACTTTCAGACTCATCTACAAGCAACTTCAAGTCCAAGTGACTACAAAGGACAAAATGCTAAAAGTCGCCAAACTCTAAGTTATAGGAAGGCTTACCTGTTTTCAGATGAACTCATTTTGAAAAATGTAATCTCAATGTAATGTAAAATCTAAATGCAATGTCATAAAAACCTAAATGTAATGTAAAAGCAACCTAAGAACTTTCACTTTGACCTCATTGGAGTAACTGATACCAGACTTGCTCACTGTAGGAAACAGCTAGAGAACTGAAGAACAATATGTCAAACAACTGCTTTCAGACACTAGACGACAGCTAGTGCATGGCTATGATGCCCGGGGAAGGGAGGTTGACAAGGCAAGTCCCACGGTCTTGTGTCTTTCTGCCTGGGGGCACTTGCCAGGCAGGGGGAGCTCAACCCAGCCCGGTGGTCTTGCTGAGTTGAGGAGACAGAGGCTTCCAGTTTGGGGATGCTGGACCAGGTGGGATAGGGACAGAGTAGCAGAGCTTTGTAAGAGTAAGAGCTCCTGAAATGTGTATAGGGGATCCTTTGGATGACTACTGAATACTAAGCTTCCTGTGTATACAGTAAATCTCCATGATGCCAAAGAAGTATAGATGAGCCATAAGCTGAAAGATTCAGAACTCACACAGAGCTGAAGGACATTAGAATTCTGACCAGTCAGGGTGGGGAGAGCCTGAGAAATAGTCCCAGCACCCTAGGAAGCTGTTAGTAGTCAGGCTAACCCTGGTGATATTAGAACCGCCCTGATAAACTGCTTGCCAAAACAAACTTCCACATTCTTTAAAGGAAACAACAAAATACAGAAACTCAGCAATGCAGCAATATTCGTCATGTAATTAAAAATGACTGGATATGTTCCCACTGGGCCCATCTGGGCATGTGTGGAATCCACGAGTCCAGAGAGATAACGACTAGGTAAATGAAAGTACTTATGAAGAGAAGGGAGGGTGCTTGCTGATGGTAGCATACTGAATGCTACTGATAAGCATGAGGAAGTTCTGAAAGTGGAGGATCACTCTGTTGCAGACGTGATAGTGAGTACTGGTTAGGCAAGAATGATCAGACTGCAGAATCTAAGGAGAAATTCAGATGAAGAATAGGAAAAAGAGGAAGATGGTCTTCAAGTGTCTTCTTCTGGCTGCTTATTAATTGCAAAAGGAAAAGATAGTATATGTTGGAGAAACTGATAAACACCTTGCCTATATTATCAGAATGGACACCACCAGTGAGGGGCAGATGGACACTGGGGTTCCCACAGACAGTGCTCCAAGGAAGGGGCATCACTGATGAAATATTCTGGCTTGAAATGCATAACCTGAATCCACCCATGAAAAAAACAATGGAAGGACCCAGGTAAGGGACATTCTATTTTTAAAATTCATGATTGTGTTTTTCAAGATGCCAATGTCATAAAATTCATAAAAACGTTATGGAAACATTTCAGATTAAAGAGACACAACAATAAAATGGAATACCTGACCCTACGTGGGGGCCTGGACTGGAGGTTTCATGCTGTGTAAGACACAATTGGATCAGTTAACAAAGCTGAAAATTGGATGGTAGATTAGAAAACGTAGAGCACCAGCTAGACGTGGTGGCTCACACCTGTAATCCCAGCACTTTGGGAAGCTGAGGAGAGAGGATTGCCTGAGCCCAGAGGTTCGAGAACAGCCTGGACAAGTTGGTGAGACCTCATCTCTACAATAAATTTTAAAAAATAGCCAGGTGTGTGGTGGCATGCACCTGTAGTCCCAGCTACTCAGGAGGTGGAGGTGGAAGGATTGCTTGAGCCTCCAGGTTGAGGGTGCAATGGCCGTGAGTGTGCCACTGTGCTCCAGCCTAGGTGACAGAGTGAATCTCTAACTCAAAAAAAAAAAGTTAAAAAAAAAAGAAAAGAAAATGTAGAGTCCCAATGCTAAATTTACCTAAGCTGATAACTGCACTACGATTATATAAGAAAATATCTCACCCTTAGGATAATCATACTGAAGTATTTTGGGATAAATGATAGTGGTGTATGCAACTTATTCTCAAGTAGTTTAAAAAAGATATTATGATTAGATAGATAATGAGACAATAAAGCAGATGGGAGAAAATGTTAACAATAGGAGAATCTGGGTAAATGGTGGGTGTCTTTTGAGTACATTTAAAATTATTTCCAAATAAAATTTTCTTTAAAAATAAAAGATGAAAACTACTAGATGTAAGAAGCAACAAAACAAAATGTGATCCATAATCAAGAGAAATAACTGTCATTAGAAACACACTCAGTAACCACAGAGATGAAGGAACTAGAAGGCATTAAAAAAAAAACTGTTATAGACACCTCAAATATTTAAATGAAATAGAAACACTGTGATGAGAGAAATGCAGGATATAAAATAGGACCAAATAAAACTTCTGGAGCCAAAAAAATTACCATATCCAAAATGAGATATTGAATGGGTGGGCATAACATCAGAGTAGATACCGCAGAAGAAAAAACTGGTGAATTTGAAGACAGCAATAGAAACTCGAACCAGGGGAGAAAAACAACTTAAAAGGTCCCAGCCGTGGCCGGGTGCAGTGGCTCACGCCTATAATCCCAGCACTTTGGGAGGCCGAGGTGATGGGATTGCCTGAGCCTGCAGATTCGAGACCAGCCTGGGCAACTTGGCAAGACCTCATCTCTACAATAAATCAAAAAAATTAGCCCGGTGCCACGTGTCTGTAGTTCCAGCCACTTGGAAGGCTGAGATGAAAAGGATTGCCTGAGCACAGCAGGTCGAGGCTATGGTGGCTGGGAGTGTGCCACTGCACTCCAGCCTGGGTGACAGAGTGAGACTCCAACTCAAAAAAAAAAAAAAAAAAAAAAAGAAAGGTCACACCTTCCATCATCTGTGGATCAATAACACATGGAATTAGATTGAAGAAGCGGGAACAGAAAAGATATTTGGTAAAAATATCATAATTTGATAACTACAAGCTCACAAATTCTAGAAGCTCAAGAAAACTCAAACAGGATTAACATAAAGAAACCCACACTGGCTGGGTGCGGTGGCTCAACCCTGTAATCCCAGTACTTTGGGAGGCTGAGGCGAGAGGATTGTCTGAACTCTGGGGTTTGAGACCAACCTGGGTAACTTGGTGAGACTTCGCCTTTATAATAAATAAAAAAAATTGGAAGGCTGAGGTGGAAGGATCGCCAGAGCCCAGCAGGTCAAGGTTGCAGTGGCCGGGAGTGGCCACTGCACTCCAGTCTGGGCAACAGAGTGAGACTCCAACTCAAAAAAAAAAAAAATCAGCTGGGCATGGTGTGAGCGCCTGCAGTTCCAGTTACTTGGAAGGTTGAGGCGGGAGAATCATCTCAGCCCAGAAAGTTAAGGCTGTGGTGACCGTGTACCACTGCACTCCAGCCTGGATGACAGAGTGAGACGCCTACTTAGGAAAAAAAAAGAAAACCACACCAAGTCACATAGTCAAAACCAGGGACAAACAAAAAATCTTAGAGGCAGGCAGAGAAAAAAGACAATAACACACAGAATTACAAGAATAAGAAAGACTCCCCAACTTGTCATTTGAAACACTGTACGCCACAAGCTGACAGAACTTCAAAGTACCGAGAGAGAAATCTACAAAAATAGATTTCAAAGTTGAAGGCAAAATAAAGCCTTTCTCAGATAAAGAAAAGATAAGAAAATTCATCAGCCAGCAGCTCTGCACTAGAGAAATGCTGAGAACCGTTCTTCAGGCTGCAGGAAGGTGGCATCAGGAAAAAAAATCACAAAGGAATGAAGAGCATTGGAAGTGTAAATGCATTTTTTTTAAAAAATGAAAATCACCAGGTACGGTGGCTCACGCCTGTAATCCCAGCACTTTGGGAAGCCAAAGTGAGAGGACTGCCTGAGTCCAGGGGTTTGAGACCAGCCTGAGCAAGTTGGTGAGACTTCGTCTCTTCAATAAATCAAAAATTTAGCCAGATGTGACGGCTCACGCCTATAGTTCCAGCTACGGTGAAGGCTGAGACAGAAGGATCGCCTGAGCCCAGCAGTCGAGGCTGTGGTGGCCATGAGCGTGCCACTGCACTCCAGCCTGGGTGACAGAGTGAGACTCTGACTCAAAAAAGAAAAAGAAAAGCTTTTCTTTAGAAAATATAATTGCACCAAATCAGGAAACAAAAGAGGAGGGACCTCGTCCTGGACCAGGACCAGGTGGCACTGACCTTGCATGTGGGCAACTGCAAGGCTCCAGGGGGCACTGGGCCAATTCAGCACATGCTTCCTCAGGTTCCTCTTTTCCACTAACCAGGTATTCCCCGCTCCACCCCCCACCCCCACCTCGTACTGACTCGCAACCAGAACTTTCTCTTATCAGCTCTATCCACCTGGCCCACACCACTCACCCTGTCCGTACCATTCACCTGGTACATCCTCTCCTCTTGGGGTGTACCTCATCTTCCATTCCCCTTATACCCCTGCTATTAGAGTCACTCATTTTACATGTGTCTATTGGCCATTTTTCACCCAGCAACTTAAAATGGTATTTTCAGTTTGTAAATGACACCCATTCTTATAGTTTCCAAGGATGATAAACGTTCTCCCATACATTAAGTGTATTTGGGACTGTAAGTATTTGTATTACATCTATTTGACTCCAGGCCCTCACAAGTTTTATTTAGGACTCTCCTAGACCAGAACTTCTACACTGGAATCTGGATATAAATCACCTGGTTTACATGTAGATTCGGATTCAGGAAGTCTGAGGTGGGGCCTGAGACTCTGCATTTCCAGCCCGCTCCCAGGTGATGTCCAAGTTGCTGGTCCACAGACAACAGGATCTTAGATGCTTTTTTCCTTCTCTTATATGACCTTGGTTTTGATAGTTAACCCAGATTAAGTCAAAATGCAACTGATCTTAGTAGATGGCTAGGTGGCTGAGCTAAAAGTACTGTGCAAAATAACTGCAATTTCTTTTTCTTTCTTTCTTTCCTTTTTTTTTTTTTTTTTTTTAGTTGGAGTCTCACTCCTTCACCCAGGCGGGAGTGTAGGGGCATGCACACTCATGGCCACTCCAGCATCGACCTGCTGGACTCCGGAGATCCTTCCGCCTCAGCCTTCCAAGTAGCTGGAACTATAGACGCGTGCCACCACGCCTGGCTATTTTTTATTCTTTTTGTAGAGGCAAGGTCTCGCCAAATTGCCTGGGCTGGTCTCGAACTCGTGGACTCAGGCAATCCACTTGCCTCGGCCTCCTAAAGTGCTGGGATTACAGGCTGAGCCACTGAACCCGGCCCCTTCCTTTTTTTTTGAGTCAGAGTCTCACTCTTTTGCCCAGGCTGGAGTGCAGTGGCACGATCACTGAAGCTTCAACATCCCTGCCCCCCTCTCACCCCCACCCCTGCCCCAGTAGCTGGGACTACAGGCCCACACCACCACATCTAGCTAATTTTTAAATTTTTTGTAGAAACAAGGTCTCGTTATGTTGCCCAGGCTGGTCTTAAACTCCTGGGCTCAAGCGATCCTCCTGCCTTGGCCTCCCAAAGTGCTGGGATCATGGTTCCTTTTAAAAATATTTGATTATGTTATTTGGAACATGCCCAGGCAGAGTAGGCCTTCTTTCTCTTTGGGGATACTAGTGTGTAGTTCTGTTGGAAACCCCACTGAGGGTCAGTTTCAGCATTTTCTCAAGTGTGTGCCACCATCCCTTTACATGATTGTCCCTGTTGGTAGATCTGGTATATGAAGGGAAAAGAATGCTCATCTCTTTGGGGAAAGAAAGTCATCTTCTCTTGATTAGTGTTTAAGAACTGCACAGCTGCATGTGATGCTCCTCTCTTTTCCAATGGATACCAAACTTCAAAGAAAGAGTTTCTCCTTGGCATAAAAAGTGATGAGAGCTCAGAAAAAAACAAGAGGGGCACAAAGAGCATCTGGAAACTTCTCTGTAATAAACTGTAAATAGGAAGTATTCCAGGAAGGGCTATGAACAGTTATCCAAAAGGAAGGATTCAAGGTTTCTTTTAAAATAGATTAGGGAAAAAAAAAATCAAAGTTAGATTAGATAAATGATACTACCAAGCTTTTGTATTTCCTTAGATTCTAATTTAAAATTCTAATTTTTGTCCTCCAACATTCATCTTTCGAAAAGGGAAAAACTGTAATTTTGCAAAGGAGAAACCTGGCAGACGTCACCTAATCTGAGTGACCCAGATTCACGTTCCCGGAAGAAGACACCGTGACATCACGATGTGCGTCTGGATGCAGACACGATGTGCATCACCTCCATGTCTTCTTGCCAAAAATGCATAACCTCAACCTATTGTACAAAAGAATCAGACAAGCTCTAGCTCAGAGACATGCCACATGTCTAGCTCAGAGACATGCCACAGACTGTCCTGTTCTCTTTAGAAGTTCCACAGTCATAAAGGACAAGGAAGACCAAGGAACTGTCCCAGAGTTGAGGAGACTACAGAGACATGGCCACGGAATGGGGTGTAGGGTCCTGGTTGGACCCTAGAAAGAAAAAGACAGGAGTGAAGAACCGGTGGAATCGCAATGCAGCCTGCTGTCTAGTTAACTCTCTTGTGCCAATGTCAACTTCTTTGCTTTAATAGCTGCACTCTGGTTATGCAAGACATTAGCATCGGGGGTGCTGGGAGAAGGCGACTCAGGAACTCTACTATTTTGTAACTCTTCTGTAAGCCTAAAATTATTTCCAGGCCAGAAGTGGTGGCTTACACCTGTAGTCCCAGCACTTCGGGAGGCTGAGGCAGGAGGATCGCTTGAGCGCGGCCTGCACAACATAGTAAGACTTTGTTTCTAAAAAAAAATAAAAAACTTAGCCAGGTGTGGTGGCATATGCTTGTAGTCCCAGCTAGCTACTTGGAAAACGGAGGCAGAAGGACACCTGAGCCCAGGAGGTTGAAGCTGTGGTGAGCCATGATTGTACCACTGCACTCCGGCCTGGGTGACAGAGTGAGACTCCAACTCAAAAATAAAAATAAAATAAAATAGGCTGGGTGTGGTGGCTGATGCCTGTAATCCCGGCATTTTGGGAGGCGGAGACGAGAAGATTGCCTGAGCCCATGGGTTCAAGATCAGCCTGGGAAACATGGCAAGATCTCATCTCTACAATAAATTTTAAAAAAATAGCTGGACGTGGTGGTGCACGCCTGTAGTTCCAATACTTCGAAAACTGAAGCAGGAGGATCACCTGAGCCCAGCAGGTCGAGGCTGTGGTGGCCATGAGCATGCCACGGCACTCCAGCCTGGGCAACAGAGTAAGACTCTGACTCCAAAAAAAAAAGCAAAATAATTTCCAAAGCAGTTTAAAACTATGAAAATTATTATTATGTATTGTAATTAAAGCCTAAGATCAATTGCTATTTTCACTGTGAATATATATATATATTTTAAGTTGGAATCTCACTCAATTGCCCAGGCTGGAGTGCCGTGGTGTGCTCATGGCCACCCCAGCATTGACCTGTTGGACTCTGGTGATCCTTTCGCCTCAGCCTTCCAAGTAGCTGGAAACAGGTGCGTGCTACCACACATGGTTAAATTTTTAAAATTTATTGTAGAGATGAGGTCTTGCCAAGTTGCCCGGGCTGGTCTCGAACCCACGGACTCAGGCAAGCCACTTGCCTCGGCCTCCCAAAGTGCTGGGATTACAGGCTGAACCACCAAGTCCGGCCAATTTTTGTACATACATATTAATAGAAGCACGAGAAATCTACTCTTCCAGTCTAGCTGTAACGAGCCACAGGTAGCATGACCACAGCCTGATGACCTCCCCTCCGCCCCCAAATGCTGGCAGGAGACCTCTGAAAAGCTGACCTTGTAAATCCAAATGGCAAACGAAGAGATGTGAAAAAAGCAACTTCACTGCCTGAGGAAACTGATCCTAGAGGGACTGAGTCTGCCACAAACCATCACTTCATGGGAGAAAGGAACAAAGGCCAAATGAGAGCTATACTTACGGAGTAAAGAAAAACTAGGCTCTTGACAATAAGCAACCCAGGGCATCATGCCGAGATTGTCTCTGTGGGTCTGTATAATTAATTGTCCCTAGTCTGTGACTCAATCCATCTCTTTTGGAAAGAGCGTGAACATTTCCCTGCCCAGCTGATTAGCATATGCATTCGCTGTGTCTATGAGGAGCGAAGCCATTAGGACCCAGGGTGTGGCCTGGCTTCAAGGCACAGGACATAAAAGAATTCCTAATTGAAGTGAAAAAAACAGGTTTTGCCCTCTAACTGCCTCAAAGTTCATTCTCAAGATTAACTGCATATTTCTTAAGCCCTGTTTCAACTCATATTACATGAAAGAGGTACTTGTTTGAAGAGTTTATCTGAACTAACTATAAAGTATTGCATACTGTACAAATAAGTGTGGCTATTAGAAATGTTATTCTTCTTATGGTTTATTATGTTATATAGTGTTTAAAATACTAGCACTTTCATTGCAAAGATTCTATCCTTTGTATTTAATAAGCGGGCAACATTTTCTACCTTCATATTGACTTATCATCTCAACAAATAAAAATAATAAATACTTTTCATTATTCTGATAAAAAACCATAATGAAATGATATATTCCTTTTTTGCTACTCCCAAAAGAACTTTAAGAAGAAAAAAAAAAAAAACAGAGAACATTTCATGATATAAACTCAAATATGAAAATTTCCTCTGGGGTCTGAGGCCGTAGAGGAAGCATTTGTTTATTTGTTGGTTTGTTTGTTTGAGAAAGCAGGATTTATTGAGAGGACATAAAAGCCCCCACAGTGGGAGGGGACCCGAAGGGTTTGCCTAGGAAGCATTAAACAAAAAAAATCACTTCTACACAGCAAAGGCCTCTGGAGTGGGGGGAGAGGGCACTTGGGGTCTCAGCAGTGAACTCACAGTGCAAACGCCATGAACATCACACTCAGCTGCATGACCGTGGCATTCACAGGGCTGACAGATTCCTCCAAAGAGTATTCCATCCACGCGATAATAGCCAGAAAGGCACGACTGCAAGAGAAAGGCAAATCATCTTCCTTCCAAGATGTTAGAAAAATAAATTGCTCGATTGTCCATGAGTAGAAAAACTTAGCTCTTTTTTCTCAAATATCTTCATTGAGGCATCATTTACATACTATAAGACTCACCCATTTTAAGTGCAGAAGTCAATGATGTTTAATAAACTTACTGACCTAACCATCACGATAATCTAGTCCCTATTTCTTTTTAAAAGTGGAAATATGCACCAAAAAACCTTAATGATTATGCAGTAAGTCTTAAGGTATTTTTTTAATGGTAGATTACATAATATGTTAGTAATAGTAATACTTTCATTGAAATGATGCAATCCTTTGTGTTTAATCAATAGACATTTTCTATCAGTGGTATTTCACTGCAGTATTCTTAAACTAGAAATTGTGCTAACATTTAGCCATCTAACTAGTGTTTCAATCAAAAGGATCTTTTTCTCTCAACTTAGTTTTTTTTTCCTTTGCCAATTCATTAAAAGTTGCCATCAAACAATTGCAAGTGCAGGTCTGTGTCAAATTGCATCTGTTTAAGACTGTACGCGGTGGCTCAAACCTGTAATCCCAGCACTTTGGGAGGCCAAGACAAGTGGATTGCCTGAGCTCAGGTGTTCAAACCAGCCTGGGCAACTTTGTGAGACCTCATTTCTACAATAAATAAAAAAAAATAAGCTGGGCGTGGTAGCGCATGCCTGCAGTCCAGCTACTTGTAAGGCTAAGACAGAAGGATCCCCAAAGCCCAGCAGGTTGAGGTTGTGGCGGCCATGAGCATGCCATTGCACTCCAGCCTGGTGACAGAATGAGACTCCAACTCAAAAAAAAAAAACCAAAAACAACCCCCAAATTGCATCCATTTAATTGAGCAAACACCACAGACGTGTTTTCTGCCAGCTAAGCCTGGACAGGCAACTTGGACATTCACGGATGTCATGCTTTGCCTGTGAGGTGTGGGAAACCAGCCCACACTGGAATTCACTGAACTCTCATGATAACCCTGAGAAATAACATCTCTACTTTGTAAATACGGAATGTGGAACACGGTGCGGGTAGATCCCATGTGCTCATGGCATGATTCAAAATTAAGTTAGATGTGCACAGCACCAAGGTCACATCCACGGTGGGCTGCCAAGGGCCCAGCAGATACCAAATGCCCTTAAGTGCAGACTAGGGATGATTAATCTGTAAACCAGCACACCCCAAGGGAGGCATGGTGGGGGGGGGGGGCTTCTGGGTTAGATTTGTGTTTTATTTTTATAAGACTTCTTAAAGAGTATTTCTAAATACTCTACAAAGAACATATAAATGCATTCATTCACACAGACATTGTGAAAGTCCCCTCACAACTCCACCCAACCGTCTCCCCCCACCCCAGGGGACTGGGGACCTTCTGCCTGGAGGTCTGCAGGGTGGCTTGCAGCGGTGCTGAGAACGCCCTTCTCTGCCAATAGCTGCCTGATTCTTTAAGTCAGCTTCTGAATAAGAATTTGGTTCAACGATGAAGTCTGCTTAACAAAACGAAGTTTCTAGTGTTTGCTTGAGCCACCATCCCAGCCCCATTTCCTTCCAAAGCCCAGGAGACTTGGAATGCACCAGCAGCCCTGCTCACTGCTGTGCCCTTCTGGTCAAGCTGACTTCTACCTCCACAGACCAGCTCTTTTTTTTTTTTTTTTTTTCAATGGAGTCTCACTCTTGTCGCCCAGGCAGGAGTGCAGTGGCACACTCACGGCCACCCCAGCATCGACCTGCGGGGCTCCGGTCATCCTTCCAAATAGCTGGAACCATAGGTGTGTGCTGCCACTCCTGGCTAATTTTTTTTTTTTTTAGTTGGAGTCTCACTCTGTCACCCAGACTGGGTG